ACAGCAGTAGGCCCGTGATTAGTGATGTTTATACGGAAGCATCCTCAGGTAGCGCAGATTCAAGTATCTTCAAATAAACCGGGCCTAGGATGGGGCCACATTGGGCGATCAAAGTTTTACATAGGTATATATGGGGAAATTCTTTAAAATTATCTTCTCAAAAACAGCAAAGCAATGATTAGTCATATTTATATGGATTGATTGATTGATGATTACTAGTATTGTTTAACGCCGAGTCGGCAATATTTCAGCCATATTTCGGCAATCAAAAATGTATATGACCATTTTTAAAGTTTTTGGTTTCTCTGGCCATATTTACATGGAGCATTGCCGCGCATTGTCATGCGACATATGTTCTGATGGACGACAATATGCGCAGTGAGCGTAGGTACACATCGTCGGCGACAATATGAACAGGACGACAAAATGTACCGTCACAATCACGCTGCATGAAATAGCATACGAGACACGTCAGTGTGATTCACACACCAATTCCATTCACAAAACTATCAAAAAACAACAAAAGAAATCTTAAAGCAACAATTTCTGTGGGGCGACAATATGTACAGTGAGGGTGAGGCACATTACGTCGCCAGCGACAATATGTACATATGTAACTTTTCAGCCGGCGACAATATGTACCGATGGACGACAATATGTGCAGTGAGGGTAGGTACATATTGTCGCCGACGACAATATATACAAAACGACAATATATACCGTCACACACCCCCACCCCATGTTTGACCTTAGGGCAAAAAGGTTGTTTTTTGTTCAACGTCCCTTCGAGAATTTTTCCCTCATACACCACTATTTGCCTGTGAACGGCTGCAAAGAAATGAGTGGGCTTAAAGCCCCATTTTTGGTCCTTTTACTATTTCTTTACCAAGCTGTAAATGAAGTGAATTGAAAATATTTTACAAGCAATAGCAAGTTCGAAAAATATATGATTAGGTAGAAAATTCTACGTAAGCAATGCCTGCATCGATACATTAGATGTGTTGCTGTCCGGAATTTGAATCCACCCGGCGTGGCCTTAGGTCACTTAATCAATATTAATAGGAGGCGGGACTATCGATTAGCGTCGTCGGCATCTCTCTCTCTCTCTCTAAAGTAGATGGGTCTTTCGGCTGAGACCTTAAGCCGAGGCCCCGTCTCACGGTAGGCGTTTGCACGATAAAGAACCCTCACTGCCCAATGGCCCTGAGTGCCGAGTAAAGGTTTAAATTTGCTGTAGCAACCGAGTAAATTTGAAGCCCTTCACCGGTATATGGTGACGTCTCTATATGGGTGAAAAATTCTCGAACGGGACGTAAAACAACACACAATCAGTCAATCAATCGATCTAAAGTCGAATCGGTGGTACATGTATCAGTTTACAACAATACAGCGACGTTAATATGAAATTAAAAGAGTTTCTCTACTGTATATTATGAGGACAACAGATTTAATTTGCTCAATTTGGCAAAGGGCAGACCAACCAAACGCGCTCGATCTCGGATCTAAATTAGATCGAAGTCACATTTTAGAATAACTGTATTCAAAAGTACACTCACAGCAAGACACCACGTGATGAATTTGCAATATTCAACAGGTCAATCTAGGTCAAATCAAGGTTAACACAGTCATAACAATGGAAGGACAAGTTTGCTTTGAACATGTTTTTGAAAGATTATGTATGAGAGCACGTTTGTCGGCTCATCTCCTTTTAATATGACATTATACCCCACGCAACAAGTTGCGGGGGGTATAATGTTTTTGACCCGTCCGTCAGTCAGTCCGCCAGTACTGTTTTTCTGTCAGCGCAACTCCTCATAAACGGCTGCACAGAATTTGGTCAAACTTTGCAGATATTTAGGACACAATGTGTAGATGTGCATATTACCAGGAAATTCCGAATCCTTTATTTTTTTTCTGGGAATTTCGGCACTTTTCAACATAGATTTTTGGCCATATCTTGAATATAGAAATGAACAGTTTGTCAGCGCAACTCCTCTTAAAGGTGCTTGGACACAGATTTGAAGTGAATATTTTCTCAAATTTTCTGTATAATTTCATGACTTATATGTTGCTACAGCATTTCATACTAAAATATATTAAAAATCTCATTTCATCTCGGAGTTATTAAAACTTCGATTTTCTGGACGCGTTGGATTGACACATCCTTGCGCTTTCACATATTTTAATTTTATTCTTAATACTTAAGAAAAGTGGCAATTTTGTTGTGTACTTATGAAAAATATTAAAACTATAACCCAGAAAATTCAGAGTAGAAATGTTCGAAAGCAAAACCTACTCACAGTATAGTTTAACAATTGAACACACCCTGTGAATCGTAAACATTAACAATAACAGAGCTCGTGCCCTGTTTACAAAAACAGTTTACGTTTCATGGGTGTGTTCAAATTGTTAAACTCTATACACATCACAGAGCACGGATTGACAATACTGGTGAGTTGGTTTTGCTTTGGAACATTTCTACTCTGAATTTTCTGGATTATAGATGTAAAATTTTTCATTAATACATAACAAAATCGCTCCTTTCCTTAAATATTAAGAATGAAGTTAAACTTTGTGCAAGTGCAAAGATGTGTTAATCAAACGCGTCCCGGAATTCGTAGTTCCAATAATTTCCAGATAAAATAGGTTTTTAATTACATTTTCGTGTGAAATGCTATTGCAATATATAAGTCGTGATATTATACAGAAAATTTGAGAAAATATTAAGTTCAAATCTGTGTCTAAGCACCTTTAAACCGCTGCACAGAATTTGGTCAAACGTTGCAGATATTTAGGACACAATATGTAGATGTGCATATTACCAGGAAATTCCGATTCCATTATTTTTTTTCTGGGAATTTCGGTACTTTTCAACTTGGATTTTTGGCCATATCTTGAATATAGAGATGGACAGTTTGTCAGCGCAACTCCTCATAAACCGCTGTACAGAATTTCGTCAAACTTTTTAGATATTTAGGACACAGTGTGTAGATGTGCATATTACCAGGAATTCTGATTCCTTTATTTTTTCTGGGAATTTCGGCACTATTTAACTGAGATTTTTGGCCATATCTTGAATATAGAGATGAACAGTTTGTCAGCGCAACTCCTCTTAAACCGCTGCACAGAATTTGGTCAAACTTTGCAGATATTTAGGACACAATGTGTAGATGTGCATATTACTAGGAAATTCCGATTCCATTATTTTTGCTCTAAGAGTTTTGCCTATTATTGAAGAAACTTTTCAGCTAGGTAATAAGGAAATCCACTGGAATCAGCATTTGTAATGAAATTTTATGTGAAATATTTTATGACCTTAAAATACCCCTATTGATTTTGAGATCAAAATATTAATAATTTACACACACACACAAAATCTTGGATAGCCCCCCCCCCCCCCCCCCCCCCAAACTGGTGCTTTGCCTTAAATAATTTCATAAGTACAGTATATAAACAAATTCATATGACTACATCATCATTTTGTTTCCATCAATTATTTAAATGTGTAAATTGTCATGTGTTGGACATGGACTTACACTCATTAACAAATCAAAATCACTGAGGAATTTAAATAATAGTTTGTCAGCATAACTCCTGCACTGAATTTCCTGAAACTTTGTTGGTATTTCAGACATAATGTATAGATTTGTATATTACCAAGAAATTTTGATTCCATCATTTATCTAGAAACTTCAGCCCAATTAAATTTGTAACATACAAAGATTTGAATGTCCTTATATGCAAGAAGTTTTGATGTGATGATTTTTTGCAAGTAATGCCTCTTTTTGAATTATACTGTGTATTTAAAATGCACTGTGCCATTCATTACGTGTTGCATTGTCGAGTTTGGAGGGAGCGTGGGGTATGTGAGCTTGCTCACTTTTTCTTTCATTTTGTTCAATATACAATTACATTTTTCTTAAGAACACCCGACAAACATGCGCTGACTATGTATTAAGATGTTGAAAAAAGAATGACCCTGATTATTATCTATCGATATTGAAGAAATCTGCGGGTCCCATGCCTTTAATTTTTATTTGGTTTTCCATGAAAAGAATATTTAAATTCAGTAGTAATTCAGAGTAAACTCAGGTGACCTAAAATGGACATCTGCAGCTGGCAGACTAGCTTGTTAAATGATTACGATAAGGATTAAGCAATTAACCAATGAAATTAATGGTTTTTCGGTCCAGTTCAAGGCCCCAGGATGAGACGAGGTTGGTCATTCATTGACAATACATTACACCTATGAAAATTATCGTTCACACTTGGGTCTCTGCCAAAATTGTGAAGTTTCTGGTAGCTGGGTTCAGGCTCCAAGATTGGCTAAGTTCAAGTCATATATTTAACAACCATTACAACTTATGGGTTTAGTGCTCAGGCCCTAAGATGGGGTTATGAAAATCTTTTAAGTTATGTTGACTTATAGATAAATATGCTTAAGATTTAGTGCAGTATAAACGTTGTAAAAAATTAGTCACAGATTTTTAAATGAATGGCCCCAAAATCTAAAGGTATTTTTTTCCTTTTGCATTTCTGACAAATTTTTGGGAAATTTCTTTTAATTATCATTTATTAGTATGACTTATTATTGACAGAAGATAAGACTGCATCATTTGAAGTAATAAGAACTTCGTATTTTAGAAGTTAGGATATCTACTACTTGATACAAATGTGTACTTCATCATTACATAGGCAACAAAATGAACGAATACAAATCACAACTAACTAAAGTAAATCAAAAGTTATAGGCAAGGATATTTATTTATTTCATATATTTATTTCAGATAGAAAAAAGAGCTTTAAATATACTTGTTTTTTAAATAAATTAAACCCGAAAGTGACAAACGACGATGACCATCAGCGTGAACCATGCCATACCCTAAATACATGTACATTGTAGTTTACTAATGTTGTGGCAAGGTAGAAAACATATACGAGCCGCCTTAAAATATGTGCAGAAAAGGAGCTGTTTTAATAATGCATTTAAATATATTTACCTCTAAATGTTGCTTTTTGGCACCATATCCTTGATGTTTTGTCCCAAGTTCCTTGAGGATGGGACTTAAGCTATCTAAGTCATCAATGTGGTCCACAGCGTCGCCGATTACCGTGAAAACGTTTCTAACATGACTTTTAAACATTGGGCTGTCAAAAGGAGCTCCATTTACATTCATGAAAGAAAACAATGATTTTAAATGTGGATTGTCTTGTAGAAGGCTGAAAATGAAAAGAAAAATGTCGAATATAATTTACATTATTGTAATTATAAAAATGCCCGTTTCAGATATATTATGTACCCTATTTAATTTATCACTGTGGGTTAAAATTACCTTTATCCATTACATTGTACAGTGTATCTGCCTTATGCAGTAATTATATTTCTTAATTTCTTTCCCCAATAAAGTGGGTTGATACAATTATTGACCTTATCCATATCGCCTTAAAGAAAGACGCCCCTAAATTTAAAGGGTCGTATAAACATTTATGTACCATCAACAGTACACAGGAACTATTGGTACAATTTCTTGCCATTGGAATTATATTTTTTCCTACAAGTTGTATGTGAGCATTTATGGTGTTAAATGCAACAGTTACGATAACAATTCACGGATAAAATTAAATGATAGTGTTTTCACTTAATTAGATGGGGTTCATCTTGGTGAACTTGTATTTTACAAATTAATATCTAATTATTATGTAATTATTGAAATAATTGAAAATGATTTTTATGGCAATATATATATTCTGTGCTCTATCTTTGTCCATAGATTTGAGAACGAAAAGTGACAACAGATAAATTAAATATTTATATAACCTGGTGTGCTAATAAAACTTGATTTGGTGACAGGTGCGTAAAGTGTTTTTTACACTGCGAGTTAAAAGACGTCTTCAGAAAACGTAAATTAATAAAATATTCCGTTTTAGTTAAGGAAAACACGAATTGAAACATGTATGACTACTAAAATTACAGACTGCCTCAAAACTTGCACATTTTATTAGTAAGAGGTGACGTTCCTTATAAAACGATGTTAGGTTTTAATTTTAAATGTGTAAAAGATACACACTTTGTCAATATTGTTGCTAAAAAGTGAAATATTTAAATTACAAAAACTAGAAGATCTTGATCAATTTCATTAGCAACCTTTTTGGGGAAAAAAATTTCATTGACCTTTGCAATATATCAATCGCATAAAATTTGCATAACTGATAAAGCGTTGTTCTTCTTATGATAACTGTTTATCTACTATTTACCTTTAGGCGCTGCAATGTTCTGTGGAAAATGTAAATAAAATTCATCGCAAGAATTGGAATTGTAAATAAACAACAGCTATTCCTTTATGTTTATGCCTGCTTGTCCTGTGTGTATGTAAATAAGAGTCACGTTTGAGCATTAGTTGTGCAAATATTCCAATATGTTGGCACAAACGCACTGAATTCCTTCATTTTACAAATTTATTTGACTTAATCGACAAATATTTTGTTTATCTGTTTTCAAAATTCTTTTTCAATTAAAAAAAGTTCCTTAAGAAAACATTATCTCAACACGTTTTCTTCGTAATCATCGTCAAGGTTACAAAATCATGTAGTTATATTCTAAATGTATGTCTGTCGAATACTAATGAAACAGTAAGTGAAAATGTCATAAAAAAGAAATGCAATGAACAGATAATGGAAGATAATAATTTCGAATATTAGACACTTGTTAATAGTGAACTCCCTCGGGGGGCGGGGGGGGGAATTTTTTAAAAATATACCACATAGATTTTGATAAATTACTTTGATCCTTGGAGTATAGAAAGAAGCTAATAACGATTATCGTCATTGGGAAACTGAAATCATGTAGTTAACCATTTTAGGGCTTTTAATATTAATAACTATAGCTTCTAAATCGTATTTAGTAATGTGAACTTACACTTTGTACATATATGATCCCGTATCAGAAAAATCTCCTCTGGATATGAATATATTCCACGAATTTTTGACGAGTTGCTTTTCGTCCTCTGGAATCGTTGTCAGCGCCATTTTATCTGACGTACAGCCCATGCTCTTCTCAGCTGTCAAGAATATAGAGTCCGCATAATTGTACTCAGTCACCAAATTTTAATGTTTTGGTTAAAAAACAAACAAAACAAACAAAATACGCTTAATCTGAAGAAAGGTAGGTTTGTGCATTGTTTGTGCTTCAAGTTTAATTTATTTGACTTGATTCTAATTAGAAGTGTTTTTGTTTACAGTAAATTTATAGAAATCGATGTTAAAACAATGTGCACGTAGTTCGTGGTAAAAAAAAAAAACCCTCACGTTTATGGAGTGCGATGCCCTCAGGATTTGAGATATTGAAAAAAGGATGTACTTTAATAAATTGCTGCTTTGAAAAAGAATGTCCATTTGCATTTATTGTGATGATTATGTTAATTAAAAGTATATTATAAGTTTCATACAAATAAATGTGGTATTCTAGGCAATGATATTTATTTGATTGATCGGTTTTCCGCACATCAGGTAAATTCATTATAAAGAAGTACATGAACATGTAGTTTAGAATTGTTTTATTTTATATTATGGAATATCAGTTATTTTTGTTATTCTGTGGAGGGGCATTATATAGTACAAATAAAGGGGGTGGGGTTATAAAGAGGTGCATTCTGCATGATGTTTTTCCCTGCAGAACATATGAGCAAGTATTGGAAGCTGGATGAAATATACAATTATAAAAAATGAAAACATAGATATTCTCTCAAAAAACCCTTCAAATTTTACCCATTTAGACTCGTCTCAGACATCAAACAGGAAGTCAAAAAATATCAATGGATTTTCGTAAATAAAAAAAATCTTCTTCTTTTTGGAATATGCGAAAAATATGTTTCAAGAAAATCCCAGATATAAAAAAAATTTCCTTTTTGGTGATAAAAAGACTGGTACAGTGTATGTGAGTAAGTCTAAAATATATAGAGGAGTAGGGGGTAACACATCCCTACTTTCTAAAAAAAAAAAGTTACGATGTTGCTGTTTGTTTTTCCCCTTCGGTAAGTAAAATTTGATAGAATGTGAATGCAAATCGATTAACTATTTATACGTACATGTATACCATTTCTGAGAAAGAACATGTCATTTAAAGTACACATAAAAATTAGGCATCTTCTCACTTTCGAATTCATACCATAGCTGCAGACTAACACAATAATTAGCCAGATACAATGTGTGTAATTACTGCTTAGCAACGAAAGATGTATAGATCTGGCTCATGTCAGGACCGTAATTGAAGAAATTGTAGATTAAAAGAGACAGAATTCTACAACTGTATTGGCAATTTCAAACTGGTTCTTTTCCCCAAAATCACAAATGACTCCACTTTTATGTCCTTAACCCCTTTCTCTCACCCCATGAACAATATAGCATGACTTTGAATTAAAGCAAGTCTTTCTAGTATCTTACTTTAGTCCTGCATGGAGAGAAAATTTGATTCATTTGAACTTTTGTTTAAACAGCCTAGTAGTCTTGACCTAAAAGAATCCTTTTTTTCCCCTAAGTTATAGCAACACATGACATGCGACAGGAAAACACCCCGTCTGGCGCTGTACATCTAGACTTTGTAACAAAAGAGGTAAAGGGTACGGAAACTATACCCAAGTATTGTATTTTCTTTTCCGAGGAAGCGACATCATTAGCTTAATTGGCCATGATAATGGAAATGTATAGCTAGTAAGGACATCTTTTTTTCTAGATCTTCAATCTATATAGTACTAACAGTGTTATTTTAGAGCCTGTTTATTATACTGCATCACAATCTCCAGGAGTGCTAATAACACACACAGTATCACATATAGTTATTGACATAAATGGTATTTAATTGGAGCAGAAAAAGTCGACAGAACATGGTAAATTAATAAATATGTACATTAATTGCGTTTTTCTTGTGAGATAACCATTATTACTATAATGAACATTTGTTTATATATATAAGATTACCATACACTTTATATTGCATTTCAAACATTTTTGTGGATGCTTCTAACTGAATTATTTATAATCTCATCCATCCTTAATAAAATATGCAATTATTTTTCCTACTGAGTTGCTATTGAATAGAACCATCCCATGGATATAAGTTAAATTCATGTCAATTTTACTTCATTTCGTCCGTATAAAAAAAATTACAGTTACTGTTTAATAACAAAGTTTTATAGTTTATGAAGCTAGAATGACATATTCTCATTCATTTAGCTTTATTTCGTGTGGGGTCAGGCTATAATGAGAACAGTTGTAACATATTTTTAAAATTCTTTGAATATTTTTTCTCTAAGATGGACATTAAGCCGGTAAAATTCTTGCACTATTGTATTGATTGCAGTGATCTATGAGTCCTCTGCCATGAATGAGAATTTTTACTCCTGTTGTCGGTGGCTTCTTTCCCCATACAGGGTGGGTAAAATGCATTTAATCTTTTCAAATTAAAAATGTGTTCCATTCAATTGAGCACCTAGCATTCAAATCTTTTACACGATTCCAGTAAACGAGGTAGCTCAGTCGGTAGAGCGCTCGCTCCGTGATCGGAAGGTCGTGTGTTCGAATCATGGCCGCGACTGACCTAAGTCGATAAAAAAATAGGTAGCAACTGTTCCTTCGCCAAGCGCTCGGCACTTTGAAAAGAAAGTTGCGGGTCATTCGGAGACCTTAACCAGAAGTCTCTGATGAGACTGTAGCTCTACTGGTCTGTACATATACATGTAACAAAGAAAAAGTAGCACTTGGATTTGAAACTTTGCAACATGCAGTAATAAAAAGAATTATGTATCTTAATGTAGTCTACTTGTGTGGCAAGTTATATTGAAATCAAACAAAAACTGTAGGAGGAGTAGCATTTTAAAGGAATTTCACAGAAATTTCTATTTTTAGTAACCATGGCAACACCGTTCATCAAAATCAAAAACTGATATACTAAATAATGTATCTTAATGTAGTCTACATGTGTGCCAAAACATATTGAATTCAGACCAAAACTGAGGGAAGAGTAGCGTTTTAAAGGAAATTTCTATTTATAGTGACCATGGCAACACTGTTCAACGAAATTAAAAATCGATGCACAAAATTATGTATCTAAGTATCTTAGTGTAGTCTACTTGTGTGCCAAGTTATATTGAAATCAAACAAAACTGTAGGAGGAGTAGCGTTTAAAGGAATTTCACAGAAATTTCTATTTTTAGTAACCATGGCAACACCGCTCATCGAAATCAAAAACCGATGCACTGAATTATGATTCTTAGTGTAGTCTACTTGTGTGCCAAGTTATATTGAAATCAGACCAAAACTGTAGGAGGAGTAGCGTTTTAAAAATTGTTTACAGACAGACAGACAGACGGACGGACACCTTACTATCGCATATGGTCTCTGACCAGTAGAGCTAAAAACCGAAGCTCAGTGTCACGGAAGGTGTTGGCACGATTAAGAACTCTCACTGCTCAATGGCCCTGAGTGCCGAGTAAAGGTCTAAATTTGAAGCCCTTCACTGGTTTATGGTGACGTCTCTATATGACTGAAAAATTCTCGAACGGGACGTAAAACAACATACAATCAATCTAAATGATGAACTCTCATAAAACTATAAAACACTCGTCCCCTATATTATGTAAGGTTTCTTCTAGCACGTTGGGCTAATCTTGCTGAATTTTTAATCTCAAAAAGTATTTTTAAACCTTGCTTTTGCACGCAGATGTTCCCATGGTCTAAGGTGGGGACAAGTTGGTAATACATTGAACATACTTTGAAACATCTCAAAAAGTATCTTCTTAACCTGGAATCTTGACTTTGAACTACTTAATATATGATGATTGGACCAGACAAGATAGTTTTTATAATAAAAAGCATCCGTTCCCAGGGTCCAAGAAGGGTCTGTTGGTCTCCGAGAGGTACTCGTTGTTGATCCTTTATTGGCCGACCTATTTTTATATTCTTAAGAAACAGAATCTACATGAAAAGCTAAAAAATACCGGTCGGCAGGGGATGCTCACTCCTCCATGGCAACTGATCCCACCTCTGATGTTTTAGAGGTCCCTGTTGCCCTGCTCCAAAATTTGTATTGTTTAATAGACAATTGAGCTTGAATACTGTTTGTTATCTCCATACATTTCAACCTAATACATGTATCCCTACAGAAGTTATAGAGAGCGGAAACTAAGAATTTTTTTTTTCTAAGTTCAAGAAGGATATATCTGTCAAAAATCATCAGACCATGAACTTGACCTGTATTTTCTGGTTCAAAAAACCCCCTGAATATGCAAGTGAAAAATCGTAAAACAACATACAATCAATCCTACGACGTATCCATACGTCAAATTTGAGTTGAATGTATGCAACTGTTGCAGAGATAATGAACGGAATAGTGAGTAATGACGGAACAGGGTAACACTATATGCCCTGGTCTTTTTTTTGCGGGGACATAAAAACTCTTGCTGTGGCTTTCAACTCTACATTTGACCGGTCATGGTGACCTAGTGGTTGAGCGTTCGCTTCGTGATTAGTAAGGTTCGATTCTCGTTCGCCGCGACGCGTCAAACCTGAGACGTAAACGTAGGTAGTGACTGTTCCTTCGCAAGCCCCGGCATTTGAAGTGAAAGTCACGATTCTTTCGGATAAGACCTTATAAAGTCGAGATACTGTGTCACGGTAGGCGTTGGCACGATAAAAAACCCTCATTGCTCAATGGCCATGACGCTGCATTTTATTTCCAGAATTTTGCATTTCGATTCCGACATCCTTTTTTTTCCAATTCCGACAGTATTTTTATTTTCATTTCCGACCTTTATTTCTTAACATTTCCGGGATTTTTGGAGAGTGCCTTTGCGGCAATTTAATGTTAACGAAGTAGGTGGAAATAGAATTTAAACAGTTTATAAATATTACATTTATTTCAAACCACATTTTTTTTCGAATAAAAACATTTACATTGTACCATAGGACTGGCGGTAAATTTAGATTTTGCTTTGATGTTGCTGTGGTGTATTTACCAGCAGAATCACAGTTTTTTAAGTCACGCCCACTTTTTTGGCAGCAAGCC